CTCCCTTGGTGCTAGATGAATGAACATCTCTCCATATGCTTATTTGTGAGAGAAAATTGTGTTTGAAAATTGTCCTTCATGTAGCATGTTGGGAAATCAAAGTTTTTTTTCATTTGAAAAGTACACTATTTACATATATATGGGGAGGTACTAGCTCCAACTCGGTTTTTCAGTGTAAACTGCAGGAACATCAAACCGACCCAGGAAACAGACTTAGAAATTAGAATACTTGTATCCCTTTAAAACTGCTCCCTTGGTGCTAGATGAAAGAAAGTCTCTCCACATGCTTATTTCTGAGAGAAAAGTGCTTGTGACAGCCGCACTTCACCTAGCATGCTGGCAACACAAATTTTTTTTTCAGATGGAAATTACAAAACGTACATATATAAGGGGAGGTACAAGCACAAAATCGATTTTACAGTTGAAATTTTAGGAAATTCAATCCTCCTAATGGAAAAAGTGGGAACCCATTTTATGTATTTCTATTGCAAGCCATTCCATTTGTGCTTGAATAAAGAACCTGACTGCACATGCTCATTTATGAGTGGTAACTTTTTGTGAAAGTCACACTTCACCCAGATTCTTGGGAACAAATTTTTTTTGGTTATAAACAACACTACATATATATATATATGGGGAGGTTCTAGCTCCAACTCAGATTTACAGTGAAAAATGCAGGAACTTCAAAACTGCACTAGGAAACAGTCATAGAAATAAGAGTAATTTTACCAATTTTAAACCATTCCCTTCATGCTAGATGAACGACCGTCTCTCCACATGTTAATGTCTGAGAGATTAGTTTGTGTGAAAGCCGTCCTTCAAATATCTTGCTGGCAAAACAAAGTTTCTTTTCATTTGGAAACTACAGTACCTACATATATATGGGAGGTACTACTACCAACTCAGTCTTACATTCAAATTTGCAGGAAGTTCAAACGGGCTCTAGGAATCATACTGTGAAAACACAGCCAGTGTGTCTTCTGCAACACGTTCCACTTGTGATACATGAAATATCGTCTCTCCACATGCTAAACTCTGAGAGATAAGCATATTTCAAAGCCGAACTTC